CAACCACATGACTTCTTTTTATAGGTATCATAATCTATTTCTTTCCACCAGTGTCCCTTGTCATTGGATATCGCCCTCGTGATACTCGACAAGAGCCGAGTAGACATCTGAAGCTTATCTCGTTAAGAGGGAATAATATTCTCATGATATACCTAACTAGAAAATTGTATATTTATAATAAGGATCTCGGAAACGGCCCCAACGATTTTCACGAAATTTCGTAAATAGCGATTTCCGTAAATCGATCTAGATAAGTTTCATTTCCAAAAAAAATTTGTTTCGCCTCTTTTTGAGAATTTTTCGTAAACTAACGACGCTATCTGTTGAAAAACCGAGGAATATCAACTAGGTACTTTCTTTTTATAGGTAACATAATCTATTTATTTCCATCACGTGTCCCTTGTCATCGTGATAGGTACTTGACAACAGCCGAGTAGACGATATTAACGAAATTTTGTGAATAGTGTTTTTTGGGTGTGATAAACCGAGCCCCGTTTTTGAGATTTTTTCTTAAACTAACAACGCCATCTGTTAAAAAACCGAAGAGTCTTTATCGGTACTTTCTTTTTATAGGTAACATACTCTATTTATTTCCTTCACGTGTCCCTTGTCACCGTGATATCGCCCTCGTGATACTCGACAAGAGCCGAGTAGACGTCTGAGGCTTATCTCGTTACGAGAGAATAATATCCTCATGATATACCTACCTACCTGTAAACGAGTTTTTTTTTTATATTTATTTACATGAAGGATCTCGGAAACGGCTCCAACGATTTTCACGAAATTTCGCAAACACGGATTTTTGGAGGTGATAAATCGAGCCCGCTTTTTGAGAATTCTTCGTAAACTAACAACGCCATCTGTTGAAAAACCGAGAAATATCGGTCAACTTTCCTTTGATAAGTTACATAATCTATTTCTTTCCATCACGTGTCCCTTGTCACCGTATTACCCTCGTGATACTTGACAGGAGCCGAGTAGACGTCTGAAGCTTATCTCGTTACGAGAGAATAATATCCTCATGATATCAGATTAATACAATTTAGTTATCATATCAGGAACTCACGGATATTTCGCTAGTGGAGGTAATTTTGTTACGCCGCTGGCTATACCCATGGTATTCTGTTATTTTACGTAACGTTACATGTTGTTTTATTTATTTACCCACTGACTTATTCTGCAATGTTTCAGTTTAATTTCGATCAATGTACTACTTGTTTAAGCTCCAATTGTCTTCCATCTACTAAAAGTTGCAGATTGAAATGTTTTTACAAGTGACAGCTTTTGCACTTTGAGGAATTTTTTACTACTACAACGTTCTATAATTATGCTTTAGAGTCGGTTCTTTAATCTGATTTAGCAGATTTTCGATAAAATACGTATTTGTTTCATAGATCTATATCCCCTTCATGATACAAATAAATCTGATATCTTTATACAAAAATACAAATCATTCCGAGCACCCCGTGTAATGTTTTACTCATCTTCAGTCATAAAACTTTACAAGAAACTGTAACAGCATACAAAACAGCGCTTTTCCAGTGTCAACCCATTCTGAAACGGTTCACATAAACTGGAATCAGTATTGCAATATGCAAATATCATAGTCTGCTTCCCGCGTGCAGGGCGAAGAGCACGGAAGTGCTTCAGATAGACCTTACAGTTCAGATAAGCAGGTTATAGAACGCCTTTATCGCTACGGTCCATTGTGCTCAGCGAAAGAAAATGTTCTGTAGATAGGTACTAAGGGAAAAACGGTAGCACGAGATCTATAAATAGTAACAGTATAAGCGCGTTTTACTAAGCGAGTTCTGGTCTTATTTATGCCACCACCGAATCAAAATCGCGTATGCAAGCATGATAGTTTCCTACTCAAATGAATTCAAAAATGTTTACAATACAACCTGTAGGTATTACTTTTAAAAGGTACTTCCTTATATTTATTTTGTGCATGAAATTGTGTTCAACGCGTCTCAGGCGTAATTGCTACGAGATTTTTATTTCTTCATTCTGATTGCTCGTAGGGATCCGTTTGAAATATCCCCATGCACTGAAGTATAGGGTGTCCCGGCACTATACCCAGAATATCTGGATTCTGGCGTGTGTTGCTTGTTTGCCAACGCCGGATCACAACCGCAGCGAGCGTACATAGCTTTTGGCGATAGAAAACAGAGATAGAATTTATAGATAAGGCTAGATCGGATATTTTCGATACTACACATTTATTTACGCTCGGCAAGCTACTAGGGATGAGAGATTTAGTGTCAAAAGGTTACCTATATCGATAAATAGGAAGGAATTTTAATCATTATACCTAACCTTGCACTGTGCCAGTTGTAGACCCACCTCACAACTTCTGCCGATTTGTGGATGTATCTTTTCATATTCGTTTTTAGACATCGGGTCCTTCCAGTTATCTCATCCGTATCTTATGTCCTACTGCCGACAAAGGCTTACTAACTTTAGCGCCTACAAATTCTGTCATTTTACAGTCTACTTTTATCAACCTATTATAATTTCCGAGTTCGTCTCTTCCAGTTATCGGATTCGGTGTATTCTGCCTAGTTGTCGGCAAAGTCGTGCTGCCGTCGTTTGGTAGACACCTCCATTGATATTCATCCGATACTATTTTGATCGGGCTTACATCATTCTGTCAAATACCGATCCATCTGATTCCAACATTACACGAAATTCAATTATTCAGGAGATTTAGGTTATACACGTAGACTTACAAGTAGATTAGTCAGAACAACTAATTAGCTAAAGTGCTACGATTATCAGAACTAACTCGTTGACTTAATCGGGAAATTCAGTACAATTAACCTAAAATAGACACTTCCAAGTAGAGCAAGCAGACAACGAAATAGGTAAATACTTCTTACAGTTTAATCACACTGAAGAATGCGTTTTTTAATCGTTTAAATCTGAAACTTCCTCGCAAAGTGGTCATAAGTATCACGCTCGAAATAATAGGCATATGTATAAAAAAACGAAAACCCTACTGCGGAAATTCAAATTTATGTTTTGCGGTTAAAGTCCGCCATTTGAATTTATGCAATTTTAATTTAGTCAGGGTCACCTGACGCTTTTGAGACGAATCTAACGACGATCAGGCGCAGTACGTAAAAAGAATTTCTTGTCTACATACATACCGGACATTATGCGTCAAGAGGACATTTTCTCAAAAAACATAATCCTTCTGTACCAGTCGGGTAAAGACACGATTAAAAGGATGTTCGCTTTTAAAACCAAATTAGTTCATAGCCTTCGCCTGACCGAAATATGAACCGCATTTTCAATATCGGTCTTCATTTTTCTCATGACAATCTAACGTCGATAAATAATTCGTTTCGGCCATCATTAATCTTTCGGTATCGTGCGGGTGGCTCGTACAATTGACTGGTTATTTCCAAGGGTAAATTATGAAGTTCGATTCCACCACATACGGACATCCAACACGCCAGGGCTTCCGAAGCGATGGGCTGTTGCGGGTCGCGATGACGCAAGGCTTTCAGAAAGTCTTAAAAGTCTGTTGGTAGACAAATTGTAATAAAACTACTGCTGATTCCTTGTAATCATTATCCTACAATACAATTTACTTTATTGCGGAAAAGAAAAAGAGTAACAAAAAGTGAAATTCTACTAACTGAACAGCCTACTAACTAACTATCTAACTACTGACTAAACAGCCTAAACTCTACGTTAGATGTAATAATTATTAAAGGAAATCTAGTAAGAGACTTTGAAATTCGTGATGATGATGACTTAAAATAACAATTTTCCTTTTTTGTTTCAGGTATGTACTGACCAACTCGATACCACAGTTCATCAAGTCGTTCGTCGACTGAGTTTCGTAAACGAGAGAGAGAATCGAGTCGGTAAAACTATTTCCAATTGCTCCGAAGTTGGGAACCACTGCAATCAATACACCACATCGCAGTTGTGTATAAAACGGTAAAGGCAGGTGAAATATGAGCAATATCGCCCCATACACCCATAGAGTGAATGTTTATTTACTTATAAATGGGCCGGGCCCTTTTTGTGCCTGGTAGTGTAGCCCAGAATACGATTTGATTGGTTTTCTTTGTAACTCCATTTCTATTTTACTTGACTATAGAAAAGCAGAAGCGGGTTTTATTTTTAGCATTGCTTGGTACCTTTGTGAATCCCAGCGATGGGAGAAGAGTTCCTGAGTCTTTATGAGCTACAGCCTGGTAACAGACAGACATCGAAGTCTCAGTAATAAGGTTCCGTTTTCACCCTTTGGGTACGGCACCCTAAACCTACGTTTAACATTTATAGTTAAATAATGTATACTTGCGATTGTCGGCGCATGATGAAACTTCGTAGTAGACATAGTTGTGAATAAAACTCTTGTAAAATTACATAAATATAATGTAAAATTACATTGTATTGTAAAAAATACCCCTGAAGATGCTCATGTGAGTGAAACTGGTTGGGTTAAACCAGCAATATAAGTGAAACGAGTACAAGAGTTTTATTTACAACTATTTATAGTTAAGTTATTTTTTGGACGTTTCCCCTCATTTACCTACCTACGCGTGTGGATGTTTTCGTTCTCAACTCAGTAAACATTCGTAGGCCTTGGCATGATATTGACGTCTATTCTTAGAATAGATTTTCAATATAAAGGGTTGTTTGTGCGCACTGTTGATTTTAAGCACAATGTTTGACAGTAGATCAATTTTGATAGCCTACTTGGCTTCTTCTTCTTTTCGAGTTGGACACCGAGTCATTCAACGATCCGATGAACCCTGGTAAAATAGTTTTTCATCCGCCTAGTACAAGCAGCAAGCCTCTGATATGCTTGGGTAACGACTGGCGTCTAAGTAATCATAGACAGCAGCCGGGGCTGACAGCTTAACATGTCCTCCAAAGCACAGAACCATCTTCCTTTCAGACATTCACGTGGTTAAGCCGCCAAGTCCTAACCAGACTGGGAACAAATTCACAAGGTGGTAAATATCAACTTTGCGAAGTGCCCACCGGGAGTCGAACCCGGAACCTTCTGCTTGGCAGACAGACGTACTACCACTGCACCACATCGGCTATCTGCTTAGCTGTGGATATTTTATAGTTTTAGCACTAAAATGACACTCTTTCATAGTTACGAATGTTCTTTTTTCCTCCAAATATTTTTCTTGCTGTTGAAATCTCTATTTCGCATCGTCGTTAGAAAGTTCAGAAGGCAAATAACGATACCGGGGCGGATTTCAGAAACCATAATTAAAAGTTGCCGGCTAGTTTCATCTTGGTGTTGCCACCTGTTATTATGATTAGATTGGTACACCGCAGTTGTGGGGAAATCTCTCTATTGGATGTTTATTTTATCTGAAAAACCTTTAAATTTAAATAAAAATGCTTTTAATTTATAATTTACGTGTAACGAGAGTCATTTAAAAGAATAGAATGTGTAGTGTGCCATATTACTATTATTATAAATTATACTTTTATTTGTAACATTATTAGGTACTCTTGTACTTGTTTGGTAAACTTTCAAAACTTTAATTGCACCTGCCCTGTTTTTTCCACATGCCCTAAGGTAGACTGGGAGATAACGCCTTTGGCGTTAAGTCCGCCATTGTACAGTTGTGCATTAAGTTTAATAAATAAAAATAAATAAATATAGTGACAGCCCGTCGCCTAAAATTGCAATATACATCAACTCTAAAATCCCTTCGTCGCTTCTTACGGCACCCATGGAAAATATATGGGGTGAAGCTATTCTAATCCGGCACCACACGGCAGAACATACCTCAGTCTAATAAACCGCTTTTGAAGTTGGCAACCCTACTTCCCCTCATTAAAACTTACCACCTGAAGGAAACAAACATTCTTCCCGTGTAGCGTAACTAAATCCCGCGCTGACGATAAATCTCAGCTCAAACTTGGACTTGCAACTTCAAAGTCAGTTTTTCTAAGTCCTAGCCTCAACTCTGATCAGTATGACAATGAGGTAGCAAACTGGAGAACTAAGGCGCAAGTTGCACAGAATAGACGCACGAAGCGACGCGCAACCTGATATCTGTCAGGCAAAGATAGTCAGCCGTTATCGATGCGACGAGCATTTCTCTATAATTATCTCTGTTTCATAATAATTATGGAAACTGTTTCAAGCGTCGCGATGTCCCACGTCTAACGTCTCCGATGATCCCTTGTTTGACAGATGCCATCTTACGTCTCACGTCTCTTCTGTAGAGGTTACGCCTAATGGCGCCGGTCTTGACAGTTACTTTTTCTGGGATTGTAAACGACGTCAAAGTTGAGTAACTTCTTATTGGTGCGTTGACTTGTGGCACATTCGTGTGTTCTGTCTTCTGCAATAAGCTGTTTATCGGAAGGTCTCTGTTTGTGACGTGAAATTTTTGATTTTGATCCTAGTGTTCAGAGGATGAACAGCAATCCTGCGCGCCGTTTCCCTAATTTAGTGACTGAAATTAAAGAATCTTCAAAACTGAATAGTTTGTTATGGGACTACATTTGTTTTATTTTATCTACACTTTGAAAATGTAGTTTAAGAAACCAACTTTTCTCTGGCAGACTCTTGCTACAACGCAACAAAATATTCGACGTCTAGGGAGAAATTGTTGTTGACGAAAAAAAAAACCACCACGTCGAAATGTTCTTGCATATGTATGTATGTCTTCCCGTACGTCACCGCACGGGAATAATAAATGCCAACATTATTTCTGTGAGAATAGCTACAGAGCACAGGTTCTCAAAGCTCTGTGATTGTGTGATGACAGATTTGTTTGGACTGCATACTTTGTCGAGTCACGCCTTGTAATAGGTAGGTATTGTTAGGAGAAAAAGATAGCATTTTGTATGCTTGAATCAAGTGGGCTCAAAATCTTCAAAAACTACAGAACAAGACTCAATCAACAGTTGCTGTCATACTTTCTAAATCAAGCAAATGATATCCTCCTACAAAAACACTGACCAATTGACTCAGTCACAACTTAACTCAGAAGACTGTGATTATGAACAGCGATCAGTTTACGTCTGGACATCCTGCACTGTGATTTTCATTGTTCTCCCCCCATAACCCACATTACAATTAGGTTTGGTTACGCGACCCACAGTTTGGGAAGCACTGCTCCAGAGACACGGCTTAGTCCCTGGCTCGAGCCATTCTTCGCATTTTTGCGGCGCCTTTGCTGGAATAATCTGGAAATTTCTACCCAAGCACTAAAAAGCTGCTGTTAAGCCGTATCTCCACAGGTGGTTATGTGGTTGGCGGTTCTCGTTTTTTGCTATCTGTGGGCACACGTCGCGATCTCGCGACAGGTATCTTGTAATTTAAAACAACTCGCCTTGAGTGCTACGCCGTAGCAAATGCTACGGCTTAAGTTTCCCTATCTTTGTTTATTTTATTTATCACTAGCGGCCCGCCCAGCGGTTTTCATTAGACGTTTTTCGGCATAACTTTAAAAATAAATGTTAATAATACGTGTACAAATACTAATACAAGAGAACGCAAAAACCTGAAGAGGTTCGTCCGGTACGCTCTAAATAAATGTGTCAATAGCTATATGTCCCTAATATGAATTCAAGACGCTTTTTAAGTTTTTCTGTCTGTCTGTCATGAACACCGCTAACTCCTTCCAAACCACGCACGAGAAATAGTATTTCTTCGCAAATTCTGCTTTCAACCTTAACAGAACGCGAAAACATCTACTTGACGGCAGAAAAAGGCTGAAAGCGGCACTTCCCCATCGAGCCTCGGAAAATCCACTCCAACTGTACTTTCTAAACATCTTTGTTTGTTTGTTAGTTTGTACACCGGCAATCCCAGCCGGTACACAAGAAGCTAATTAAGGAACACCATCAAGTAGTTGCAGTTCGAATCCCGCGGGGCGCGTTAAATAAAACAAAGTCCCTTCTCGGATTTACTCAAAACATCGCTAATGCATTCTGGAAATGAGTAATTCAGTCTGTTTGTATTCTAATCTAGTCTACTATTCTCTATTAGTTTATTCTATTCTATTCTACTAACAATAATTAATTCTATTCTGCTCAATTTCATTTCAAGCCTGTTCTAACAAAACGGAAATCTAGGTTAAACGTGAAAAAAATGTAGCAGTCTAATTTTGAAAGTCGTTTTAATTAAACTCGATGTCCAAAACGACAGTAGTAGAGTATCTACTCGGAAATATAAACGATCTTTTGAATGCGCGCATGTTTTTTTAAAATATTTTTTGGCCACAAAAAAGTTGAGCGCGTGTTTAAAATTAAACTTCAAACAAAAAAAACTGAAGGCAAGCGTTTAACGCGTGTCTAACTTCTTTGTGGTAAATCTTTTTATGTTCCTGTTTAAACAGTTTGTCATCAAATCATTATTGATGTGGTTTAAGCCACTATTGAAATTCTGGTTATGTAATTCTGAGTAAAATATAAGTACCTCCCTACAATTTTAATTTATATTATAATATTTTTCAGGTGTGTTCAGTATTACAGGACCTAAACCTACTCGTTGACAATCAATCATTGACTTATCAGGTTTTCGTTATAGACCACTCTAGTCGAGCTATCTTTGTTTTCAAGTCCTCCATGGTTAGGGGATTCATCTGTTGTTTGTGTGCGCTCCATTCTGACGACCTCCGAACCAAGTTATGGAGGTCGCCTTGTTTTTGGCACACCCCTACGATTTATGCTTCCAACTAGTGATGTGACTATACTGATTGGACTAAGTGTGAAACGAGCTTTATAATTTTCGATTGGTATTACCCGTAAGAAGTTTTCTTCATAATACATTTCAGAATAGGACTTTGATTACTTTAATAAGACAAAGCCGATAATCTTCCATAATCTCTTTAAAGTAACAGTCAACAGGATTCTTCTGAAGTTCCATCGCCTGGGACTTTAGTTAAAGCAAATTGCTAGTAATTTTCCTACACATAAACATTGTTGTCGCATTAGTGTGCAAATGATCACTTCAGACTTGAAACAAATATGGCCTCATGAAATTAATAAGACGTTTCTTGTCTTGTTTGCTCTTTTTGTGATCCGAGAATGCGTTTTTTATGTACAATTTAAACTAATTTTACCAGTTGCTTCCTGTATTAAAAAAATTTTTTTCTATGGTCAGCGGTGGTAATATAGCTTTTTAGTCGTGATGCTGGCTTAGAATAACATCACCCCAATTTAACCCGTGGATATCTTAAAAAGCGTCTTTTTGTTGGTGAAGAATTTTGGAAAGCACTCAAAATTTCTTGAATTTTAGTTTCTAGTTTTTTTTTTCTGTTTAGAATACTGTACATTTTGAAAACAGCATAATAATATAGGTGACGTCACTAAGGTGAACAGCAGGCGATGTGATTCACTGCTCCACTGTAGAACGCCTGATCCATTATTTAGTTTTAATGTCATCTAATTTGTCCAAATTGAATAGATTATATATAATACCTACTACAGTACATTTTAGAAATCATTCGGGTGACGTCACTTAGATACCAATTGAATAGATTATAATAACCACAGTAAATTTTAGAAACCATACGTGTGACGTCACTAAGATACCAAGTCTCCCGTGAACAGCAGGCGATGTGATTCACTGCTCCACTGTTGAACGCCTGATCCATTGTTTAGTTTTACTGCCATCTAGTTTGTCCAAATTGAATAGAGTTGCACCCGAATCGTAAATTACACTACAGTGTTGTCGGATTATGATACTATGTCGTTTTGTAGCTTTGAATTCAGATTTGAGGAAATGAAAAGGCGTAGGTATTCATATCACATTTTTACAAAACGTTTTGTCTTTACTAGGGATCGTACCTACAATATTTAAGGATAGTTTTTAATGGAATTAAAAGCTCGAATAATTTTATGTTTCATTAGTCAGGTAGGGTTTAGGCTGAGGGAAGGCCAAACTCCAGCAGTGGACTATTATATGGTTTATGTGATGTGATGATGATGTTGCAGCATCGTTGTAGTAGGTTTGTTTGCTAGATATATTTGCAACATTCTTATTTATTTTATAGTATAAGTATTCTAGAGTACCTAACTACATACCTGTATTACAGGTATTCTGAAATGTAATAGTCGTTTTG